TAGAGAGAGAGAGAGAGAGAGAGAGAGAGAGAGAGAGAGAGAGAGATTGATTCATTTATGTCTATATGCTTTTATGGACAAAAGCAGCACCATTTATCCCTGTCTTATAGTGTAGCTGTGAAAGCTTAAAAATGCTGCCCAACAAGTTAGTCTCCCACTTTATTTTGTCAGGCAAGTAATAAATCTTAAGTGAACAAGTCACTGTGCTCTTCAACTGTCACCATGAGGAGTTGCAGGGAGGTGTGGGGGACGAACTCGTCAGCCTCAAGGCTGATTTACCACCCTTTCTATATCCTGACAATTGAAGGTTTGGGGAAAAAATTATGCACACCTGGAAATATTTATTTACCATACTTGGGGAGGAATAAATCCTAAAATTCAATTGGAAGCCATTCAAACACCTCTCTGAATGTCAGCATACAATCAATCAATATTATTCCAGAGGCAACACTGCTTCTGATATCAATAGAAAAGTGCTGGATTCACTGGGGCCATATTGCCACCTTGATGTGGACCTCAGAAGAACTTCCTTACATCTCCTTAAGAGCCAATTAAGCATTACATCAGGAATGTTTATAAAAAGCTGTTTATATAAGTCGGAAGAGGTTTTTTGTTTTTTACCTAACAAGTTTTAATGAAAACAGCTTTTAATTATTTCTTCAGTCCTGGTGTATTCTTCATTTAGAAAAAGAAAAGAGGAATAGAATTCTTCACCATTTTAAACTTTACTGTTCCTGGCACCAGTTCAGGCACTGGTTTTGAGGTATGAAGCCTTTAACTGCCTGCAACCTGGATACTTCACAGACTATTTGTTCAGGAACTTGGGAGGGAGGGTGCTGTAGCATTCATGGTCTGATTTTAGGATCCTGTGAGCAGCTGGTTGGCAACTATGTGAAAAGAATGCTGAACTAGATGGACCCTTGGTCTGATCCAGCACAGTTGTTCTTGCCTTCTTACCAGTTTCTCCCTTATCAACCTGCCCCCATGCAAAGGTTCACACTACAGAGTTCCTATTAAATGTTTCCCCTTTGTCAGATGTAAAGTGTGGCAACATGAGACAAGGCCTTCACTGCAGCTGTGGCAAGACCAAGGGATTTCATTGTCCAAGGTGAAGGTGCAAATGAAACTTCAAAGGGGAGCAGGAGCCTTTGAAGCTCTATCAAGGTTGCTGCCCATTGCTTCCCATGCCTTCTGTGAGAGCAAGACATGTTTGGAAGAAATGAGAGATGTCCCAGGAAAGGAGGGAGAGCCTTTGCCTTGCCTGGTTCCTGAACCCATGATGAGGCATCAAGACAGATGAACTGCCCAGTTAGAGGGCTTCCACAGGTGTCACCAGTAGGAGGCATCCTGAGGCTGGAAGGACTGGGGAGAAGTTTCCAGTCTGGGTTTAACTCTCTTTACATGAGCAGAGGCTTATTGTGCAACTCACTAGAGGGCTCATAGAGTTGTTCAAGAATGCAAAAATAATACATGAAATTACATTTTGTGGCCCTTTCATGGTACCCAAAATAAGCTACTTCAGACAGCTGTCTCCATCTTCCTTATGGTAAAGATAGCCCTTCAATTTAACTGTTACCACTTTGGTTAGCTTCTGATTAGAGACTGTTTCCAGGGTATGAGTTCTTTTTCAAGATTATTTTTGTGTGCCACTTAATGAAATCATGAGTCAAAAGAGCAGAATAAAAATATCCTAATTAAAAGCAATACATGAATCCTTTTGATAATCATCAGCTCCTGTAAAAAGCAAGACTGACAGAAATAAGGAAAGGAAATGGATTCAGAATAAGTAAAGAAAAAAATCTTGTAATCTTTTTTAAAACAGCAAGATCATTAGATTATATTGTGATTTTTGAAGTAATTTGCTCTTCATATTAAGTTCTTTTGTTTTTTCCAAAGCAAAACACCATACCTGGAAGAAACAACACAGCTTTTTCTGCTGACAGAAGAGTGTGCTAAGCACATGTGCACACACCCACACACACTCTCTTTATAATTTCTTCTCTATTAAAAACCTTTGTTGATCATCTTAATCACTGAAAGGATTAGCAGATACATTCACGCACTTCAAAAGAGAGTTAATTCAAGATTAAATGTCCACACTAGGCAACAGAGAGGCGTCCTCAGGCTCTGTCACCACAGGCTTACTCAGTGTCACAGCCTGTTCCAATTTCATTGGAATCATGAGCCAAGTACAGTATGGTGATCTTGTACTCGAACTAGTGGGCCAGACATTTTGTTACTGTGCCAATTTACAAAAGCACTGCACAGCACAGAAGTGTAAAAAGAAAGAGCAGATGCAGCCAAGAATAGGGACAACTCACAGAGCTTCCACAGGTCTATCACTAAAGAGTATTAATCATAACAGTACAAAAAATTAAACAGTGAAACCCTAGGCATGGTTGGTCAGAAAGAATCCCTACTGAGTTCAATGCGATTTAATCCCAGGTGAGTATGCATAGCTGTTGTGCGCAAGCATGATGGTGGACTTTAGCAAGTGTTCCCATGAGATGCTAATCACGCTGTTTTTGCTAATTCAGATTCAGAAGAACAACATGAGTATTTCATTGGGTTTGAGCAGCAGGGGGTTGTTCAAGGTCATAGGAACCAACAGGAAGGCACAGAAGTGGATGAGATTAGAGCTAGTCAGGTCACAGAGGAAGTGCCGCCAGATCATGGCAACTGGAAGGATATATAGCCAGTGGGAGGAGCCAATGTGGGTGTAGAGATTTCAGATGGGGACCACCCACTCCCTCCTGAGCTGGGTCCCAGGACTGGGCAGCAGCAGAAGCAAGAAGTACAATTTGATGTGAAGCGTGTGAAATGGAGGTATGTGTATTTTCACAGAGCTTCTCCCCAAAGGTTGGAACACAAGCACACTCCTAAGAGGAGTCACTAGACTGGGGCCAACTAACCACTTTGCATATGCTCAGAGATGTAGCTCTATGATTTAAATGTATAAAACAATAAAGAGAGTGTTGTCAAGAAATGGGTTATGGCTGGTGACTGCTGGGAGGGATGAAGCCCAGCTTGCAGCAAGCGTATCGCAGCCTTAGAGAAGTTGCATGCAATTCCTGTGTTCTGTAAACAACTAGCATGTTGTTGTTTCTTTGCCTGCTTTCACTGCTTCCTTATGAGATGTTCGGCACACACATTTTACAGATAAGGAAATAAAATACATCCTTGTCTGATATCTTAGCCTATGGGAAACCATTCTGTTTCTCTGTATTGTGTCCTAACTGTAGCTTCTTATCCATGATACAGGTTACACTGCAGAAATGCAGAGAGATACAAAGATATAACTACTCAGGCAAGACTTTGAGGTATTCATAAATTTATCTTCCACCTCAGAAGCAGCTTTTATTCTCCTTTCATCTTTTGCATCTACAATCCATATTTTTGCATTTGATAAGACAACTGTCCGGACGCAGGAGCTGGGCTTAGGGCATTCAGAATCCTCTCAGTACTGTTTTACATGTCAGAAGGATACCCCTGTAAGCTATTTCCATGACTTAAAGAATGAAAACTGTGGGAAGGGTACAGCCAGTCTTTTCATAGTATTAGCTGTGAAGCACTCATGAGCTTGTTCTCAGCAGAAGAATACTATGGCATCCAGTCCAGTTCATGATGTTAATCATAGTCCCTGCAATCAACCTAAAGTACTACTCCCATAACAGAAAATTATCCCCCTCAAAATCTTACATTTAACAAACAGATTTTAGCAATTTATTCACCAACCAGAAGAAGACTGAAAACCGTGACAGAAATAAAGATAAAGAAAGATCAAACAATAACCACAATTTGTTCCAGACAAACCAAATGCTGAACATATTTGCAGTTTCAGATTTCCTGATTTATGAGTAACTCATCATATTGCCAGATGATAACTTTCGTATAAGGTTCTCCCCGCTTCCCTTTATGAGTACACCTATAAAACTTGAATATTTGAATTTCTTTCATAAGCCTCCAGAAGGGCAAAACTTTGATGTTTCTTATGAGGAAAGATTGTTTTTTTGCTCAAGGCTAGAACTTAAAATCTTGTTACTGATTCAGCCAAATCACTCATTTTTTATTTTCATCAAAACCAAGCTACTTTTAATTAACACTAAACTCCGGTAACATACATCCACTGGTTTTTGAACATCAGACCAGTGCTTGCTGAAGTATTTGATATAAGCTTCCCATATCCAAGTAAAATCAAATATGTCTTTTTTCATAAAGAAGCTTTTAATTTCAATTCTAACCTGCAAACACACCCTGAAGAGAAAAAAGAGATGCATTTTGATTCTCTAGAAGAATAAGAAGAAATGCAATGAAACCTTCTTCATACTTTTGCACTGTAATTCAACTATGAATTATTACAGTTACACTGCAAATATAAAAATACCCCCAAACAAACCGTTTGTGACAAGGGAACTTGCTTTGCTTGTTTCCATCAGTGACAGAGTCTGTAATGTATGCACCTGTAATACCCAAGATCTGAAAATATGCCTTCTTAAATGAAGGTCACTGTTGCTATATTGATCCTCAGAGATTAAAAGATGCAAAAGAAAAGCAAGAGCTTAGTGGACCACGTAAGTACCTTGGGACAAGCAGAACATTTATTTATTCAGAATGAAAAGCAGCTGATTATCAAGTTTACATATGGAATGAGGAGGTTACAATTTTTTCAGACTGTTCTCATACAGCCATTTAACCTTAAGAACAGTAATTCATATATGTGAGAAAACCATGATCAGAAATAGACTATCGTAAATTATTCCTTAAATTAGCACACATTATAAACATTAATCATAATGGATTCAGAAGCAAAATTAATACAAATACAAACCTGTGAATTAAATAAATAAAATGTAGTAACTTTTGTTGGAACCAATTATACCCTATATATGGTAGAGAAGCTGCAACCTTTCTAATTTAAGATGCAGCAAACCCCTTGTGTTAATAGCAGACCAAACAATTAGAAAAAATTGTTCCTAACTGTAGGAAGAATTCTGTTGCTGTGCTAACCATGCTGATTCTGCAATGGATGTGTTCTGTTGTGCAGACTACGCAAAAGCAAGCACAGCACACATAGTTCATGGGGTCTAGAAGCATCAAAGTTGACTGATCTGGATAAATACCAACTGTTAAGGACGTAAGAGCAATCCTGGATCAGAGTTAGGGTCCATTAGTCCAGCGTTCTGTTCACCCAGTAGCAAACTAATTGCCTACAGCCTCTGATTCTGGAGGTAGCACATGGTCACCGAGCCTAAAAGCCACTGGCAGCCTTTTCCTCCATGAATTTGTCCAATCCCTTTTTAAAGTCATCCAAATTAGTGGCCATTACTACACCTTGTGGAACTGAATTTATGCACTGAAGAAGTGCTTCCTTTTATCTGTTCTGAATCTCCCACCAGTTTCATGGAATGATCCTGGGTTCCAGTACCCCTCCCCTTTCCACTCTTGCGCACTCCATGCATAATTTTGAACACTTCTCCCACCTCTCCCCTTAGATGCCTTTTTTCTAAGCTAAATAATCTCAGTTATTGTAGTCTTTCCTCATATGGCAGGTGGCCCATTACCTTGATCTTTTAGTTTCCATTTTCTGTATTTTCTAGCTCTAGAAGGTCCTCTTCTAGGTATGGTGACCAGAATAGTACACAATCTACTGTATCCAAGAACACTTATTACCTTGTCTATTTTGCCCATTTTATTTCAGTGAATAGGGTTTGCTTCTTGTTTGTTTAAATTAAAACAGACCTAAACTCCTGTCACACATAGCATTTCTTGTATTTTCACCAGTTTCTGCTTCATGCTACACTGAAACTTCTCAGCGCTGATGAAACACAGAGCACAATCAATCTAAGGACAATATACCACACTGACATCACACCCCCTCATTAATCTTCATTTGTCCAATCACATCCTGTCATTCTCATGCAAATAGGGCACTTGAGGATGCAACTGCTGCACACTGCTGGGATAAGAAGGAATAGGGCTGTCAGAAACTCCAGGGTGCCATCCCAGACCACAAACTATCACTTCTTCTCAGCCCTTATGCTTCAGTCATCCCAGCTAATGTGTTTGACACTCAGATCTCACCCAGCAGGAGCTAAAACAATCCAATTCTTCAGCTACACACATCTTACTTCCTGTTCTGAAACAATCACGGAGTTCCCTGGGGTTGTAACAGCTTCCTCTGTTCCAGCCTGCCATTACAAATACAAGCTGGAGGAATTATTAATGACAGCAACCAAGAAAATGAAATTCTTGCCTTGTAAATGTCTGTTTCTTTCACAGGTTGGAAGAAATTCAACTTAGTGATGGCTTACAAGCATTTCTCCCACCCCCACGCCCACAATTTCCAGAAAGACTTGGAGATAAGAGATTTACAACAAAACAAAAACCTGCCAAAGTAACAAGGACTGAACAAACAGAAGGTGAAGAAGTCTCTGACTGATGGACTACAGTTTTAATTAACACAGGCAGCCAAGGCTCCATCTTAGAACAGGTCATTGACTGCAGTCACGTACCTTTCTGCCTATGAGAAAAAGGAAACTTTCCTTTCTCCCTGTTCTAGTGGCAAGGCTAGTTTCTGGTTTTTAAAAGCCAACAATATAAGAAGTAATCACAAGCCTGATGAGGTAGCAATTATAGTAGAGGACATAAAGATGCAGAGGAATGTATATTCATAAATGCTTTGTTCATAAGAGATTCTGGGTCCAATTCCTGGAATATTCAATTAAATGGATTTCCAATGGCACCATAGAATATATCTCTGCCTAAGACTCTGAAGAGTTGCTATCAGTCAGAGTTAACACTGCAGAACCATGCTACCTCCCTAACAGTCTGCATCAGTAAAAGGCAGTTTCAAATGTTTAATAAGAACATACTGAGTGGTATAAAGCTTATTAGAATATTTCACTTTCCATGGGAAATAGAATGCCATAGTGAACTTCTATCCTCATTCCCAGCTGCATAATTTTATAAAACATGAATCCTGAGAAGAGAAATGTACAGATTGCCAGAAACATGACACACATAGAATTGGGAGCTCTCCATAAAAAGAGAAAAGCTGTTCAGGAGATTTGCCCCAATATTTAAACTTGAGCTTATAACACACACACAGAGTGGAGGGAGGAAAATTAGAAAAAATTCTAAAAACATCAGAAAAGATTTGTTTTTACTATGTCTGATACAATAACAGGCAAAGTTCAATTTAATCTGCTCCTTGTGCTTTATTCTCAAATTCAATACTTTAACAGAAAATTTAATAAGGAAAGTCAAGTTCCCATAAATTGTTTTTCACAAAATAACATAAAGCCTTACCTTGTCTATCATGTCTGGTCGGTTTGTAGCAGCCAAGACGGTTACATCCTTTAGCTGTTCTATGCCATCCATTTCTGTCAGCAATTGTGCCAAGACACGGTCTGCCACATTGCCAGAACCTGAAGAGCTAATGGAAACACAAAGTAAGAGCCAAAGTAGCAGAGCAGGTAAGAATGGAAACATGAGAAGTTTATTCAGATTTATTTTAAATTCAGATTGTAAATTCCACAAAACAAGAACCTGCCATTTTCTTCCCATTTATGTTATGGAGTATCAATATCTTTCAGTGATTATGCTATTTAAAAATACTGTACCCAGCAACCACAGAGACATTTGTATATGATGAGGTTCTACCAGATTTTCCTCAGTTGTACTAATCATCAGAGGACATGAAAGCCCTTGAGAAAAAAAGAAATTCAGCCCTTCTTCCCCTTCTATGGCATTTCCCTTCACAAAGCAGTTAGCCCTTATTAAATAGCATTAGCTGCACCAACTGATATACAGTGGTACCTTGGCTCACGAACTTAATCCATTCCAGAACTCTGGTCGTGATCCAAATTGGTCGTGAGCCAAGTTAAATTTTCCCATAAGGTTCAATATAGATAAGTATAATCCATTCTGTAACTATTTTTTTTAAATCAGAAACATGTGAAGCAAAGTGACAACAACAAAGCTTGTGGCCATCTCCCCACCCTCACCCTGAGCACAAGCATGGCCATCTTCCCACCCCCCAAGCACGACCGAGACTGCATCTGTCATACCTGCATGCATCCATCATCCTGGCATGCTGGGGGGGGGAGAGAGACGGGCGTGATCGGGGGCACACTGGGGGAGAAAGAGACAGGCACAAATGGCACGCTGGGGGAGGGAGAGATGGGCGCAATCTCGGCCATCTCCCCCCCCTGCCCCCAGCACGATCGCGGCCATCTCCCCACTCGGGGGTGGGGTGGGGAGATGGCCATGATCGTGCTGCTTGGGGGGGATGGATGAGATTGCTCCTGTCTTCCCTGCAGGAGCGTGCCCATGATCACGCACGTCTTCCCTGCACGAACGCAACTGCGATCGTGTCCATCTCCCCACTCAGGGGGTGGGGGGGAGGAGATGGCTGTGACCTTGGTCACCACCCAATGCTGAGTTCACAACCCACATCAACATTTTAATGACATTTTTGTTCGTGACCCAATTTGTGAACCAAGGCATTCGTGAGCCGAGGTACCACTGTACGAGGGATCTTTAAAAAATTTCCACACTTTTACATTTTTTATTTTATAAATATATTTTATATATTTTTTGCTGATGGCATTAAAAAATTGGTACAGTGCTGGGAAAAATGCATCACAAAAGAAGGTAATATGTAGAAAAGTGATGTAATTTGTTTTTTGAAATTCTTAATAGAGTGCAGAAACTTTTTGAAGAACCCTCATACATTGTTATTTAATCTATATACTACCTTCTTGTCAAAAATGGCATTTAAAAGGCTAACGGATCAAAAACAAAATCTTAATTAAAGCATATAAAAACAATACATCACAACAAAATCAAAAATACAACAGTAAAAGAAATTGATCAACTAACCAATTAAAAATCCTTCAGAAGTGGGCTAAAGCCCTGCCTGAATAAAAATGTATTGCCTGGCAGCTGAAGGCAAACTGAGCTCATCTCAGTTAACCTACTCTCCACTAGCATGGAGTTCCAGAGAAGTATGGTCCTTCTCAGTTCTTCTGCCCAATATGCTACCTAGCAATACTTTTTCTGTACATCCACAGTTTTGTGAGGTTAATCCCTAAAACCATTTCATCACTCCTTATTTCCCTCAACACCATCTGCACTACCGATATTTCCCTTTAGCTGCTTGTTCCCATTCATGATACTTTTGTGCAATCATGTAAGATACTGCAGTAGGGATCCAATATGTTGCATAACAACTTTGCTGCCTGAAGCCTTCCTGGAATCAGAAGGTTTTCCATTTACATTCTTCCTCCAACTAACTTCCTCCCAAGGGTAGCCTAAATAGTCTTCAGATAGTTTAAAGGAGTTGACGAGTTCTAGAAATCAAGGAGTCTACACCATTTTTAAAGCTCCTTCTGCCATGTTCCCCCTGCTCCCAGAGGTCCAGAATGGAACTAAGACATGGCAGCAATCATTTGCTTAGCACTGTATGCTCAAAGTGAAAATACGAAGTTAGAGGTGTTTCTTTATTGTCAAAGAGTGAGTGAAACTACAAGAGACCGGCAGAATCAGGCCCTGTAGCCCAACATCTTGTTCACTATAGGGGGAAGTCAGATATTCTATTAAGCCAAAAGGAAATGAAGACATGATTGCTCTTTGCTGCTTGTCTCCCAATAATTCAGAGGTATATCACCTCTGAATGGAAGGCTCCAATTCACTTATCAAAGCTATTAACTGCTGAAAGATTTGACTTTTACACAGGCATTTTAAAACCCCTTAAGCCTAGAGCCACCCACAGTTTGGGTATCCTATATAGTATGTGTTATGTGAAGAAGGACATTCTTTTTTATCTTGTGGATTTAGACCAATACATTTCAGCTGAATTTCTAGCATTATAAGAGGAGAAGAATCAAACTTTTTCCATGTCATATAATTTTATAAATCACTGTTCTTCTGAGTTTTTTTAAATAAAATGCCCAAAGTTGTCTTCTCTCATAGGAATGATGTTGCAGCTCATAACTTATTTTGTTTGTTTACATTTTTCTATACTTTTTCAAACTCTACAACAGCTTTTTTCATTGCTAAATTTACTGGGAATGATGGGAAATGCAATCCATCACTTCTAGAAGAGTGCTTTACAAGATGGGTGGAGAACATTTTTCCTGATAGAGTCTCCACTACTTTGGTCGAAATCCATCTGTGTCTGCATTCCAGCAGATGGTGTAGCAATAGCCAAACAGACAGATCCATAACCAAAATAGGTAGAATAAATGGATTGGACCAGGTCTGACACAAAGTTGTAGTCCACAGGTAGTCTGAAAACTACAGGTTCCCCATCCTTGCTTTTTATTTTTTACACTGTGGTAGTTTGATGTCATCCAGTTACTTAATCAGCAAGGGGAAAAGCCAATTTAAAGCACTGATCTGAAATTAAGTTTTACACTGATACTTCTTTTCTATTTTTTCTTAACTATTGTGCAAAGCCAAAAAAATAGCTTTACCTATGTTTTGGGACTATAAGTCCTCTACCAGAAGCACTGGCTTCCACTGTACCTGGAATCAATACTAATTATTATTATGGTACTTTGTTCCTTCCACAAACTATCCATGCCTCCTACCTATGCACAAAGAATCCTGTAATGAGTAATTTTTGCAATCATGCCATATAGGGAAGCTCAAATCTATCTCACCATGTCTTAGTTTAACTGCACAAAAACAATGTTATTATCAGAATATGATATGTTCTGCTCCTGACTGACTCCTGCAAATCTCACATGAGAACAACAGGTATGTAGATACAGGAAACTAACTTTCAATAAACAATGGTTAACTACATAAAAGCCATGCTGGAACAGACCAAAGGTCCATTTAGATGAGCACTCCATACACATAGTGGTAATTCAGCTACTCACAGGATTCCTCAAGCAGAAGGGTTGCAAGTTCTCTGCCCACCCAAGCTCCTAAGCAACTGGTGTATGTAGGCATGCAGCTCTACTGAAGAAGAGAGCACATAGCCAGCAAGGCCAGAAGATACTCATAGCCTCCTACCTCAGGAATCTGTCCAATCCCCTTTTAAAGCCATCCCCGTTGTTGGCCATCACCATTACCTGTGGCAGCAAATTCCACAGTTTCAAATATACATAGTGTGAAGAAGTACTTCTTTTGTCTATTCTAAACCTCCCACCAATCAGCTTAATCAGACCCTGGGTTCAAGAGTTAAGGCAAAGAGAAAAAATATCTCCTCCACTTTCTCCACACAATGCAAAAGTTTAAGCACTTCTATCATCTCCTTCCTTGTACTTTTACCAACTCCATAATGTCCTTTTTCAGGTAAGATGATCAGAACTGAATACAATATTCGAAGTGTGGTCACACCAAAGATTTGTATAAGGGGAAGTAAGATTTTGCCAGTTCTTTTTTATTTCATTCCTAACTATGTCTAGCATGGAGTTTGTCTTTTCACCATAGCTGCACACTGGGTTGACATTTTCATCAAGCAGTTCCCAGATACCTTTCTTGCTCAGTCAATGTTAGCTCAGATCCCATCAGCATATACTTGAAGTTGGTATTTTCCCCCAAGATGCTCTACTGTACTCTTGTTTACACTGAACTGTATTTGCCATTTTAATGCCCATTCTCCCAGCTTAAAGAGATCCCACTGGAGTTCCTCACAAACCCTTTAACCATCCTAAATAGTTTGGTGTCATCAGCAAACATGGCCACTTCACTTACTTTACATGGCCTTGCAAAACATACTTTTTCCTCCCCTGCCCTCATGTTTGAGGCCAGCATATCACTCCAAAGATTTACACAATCCTTTTCAAAGCAAACTAATCAGCAGGGAATACAGTTGCATTCATGTTTACAGAAACCGAATGAGACACTATTTAGTTCCTGCCACCAATGCAGGTCAGTGAGCATAGCACAATACAAATGAAATGAGGACCCTTGAGAATTTCATTTCTTCAATTATCCTAAAATAATACCAAATTGAGCAATAACCAACCAGATGATATACTTCCAGATGTTACAAATGAATTCTGAAAAAGGTCAAACTCCATAAGAAAAGACATTTGGAAAACTTTCTCTTGGAAGAGGGTTGAAAACCAAGCTATCTTGTGGGGTTTTTTCCTATTAAATATGTAAAGGGGATGAAAATACAGCTTTATATTTAATTATAGCTTCCACATTTATTTATTTAAAATATATTAGAGACACAAAATGGCATATGCAAAGCTCATTTTACTAGACTGTTCCTGTGATCTTATTAGATTTTCATATATGCTTTAACAAGGGTCATTAACATTTAATGAGCCCTTCCCATAACAGCACTCCCAACTTAATCTTATGCAACAATTGCCCTAGATTATTTCCTAATGTTAAGCCAATGGGAAGTGTTCTGCCTTTCATTCTTGCACCATAGTATCTGCAAGCCATGCAAGTTAGAAATAGTTGTCA